TGCTTTGAATATAGTACTAAATGTTTGTTTTTAATTAACTGAGATAGTATTTACTCAACAGAATTGCTGTAAAAATTAAATATGATGATGTTCATGATGTAAACCTGGAAAACACAGAGAATTCTATTACTTTCTGTCTGTGGGAGCAGAAAGAATGGGGAAATAATGGTAAAGAAAGACAATTTTTAAGCTAGGCATATTTGGTTTTAAATTGATGCTGTTGCTTGCTAATTTTGTGACTTTTCTAAGCCTTCAGTCTACTTATATCTAAAATAGGGATAGTATTACATTCTACAAGATATTCAGAGTTTAAATGGATAGTGTAGTATGAAACACCTAATATGGCATCTGACACGGTGCAGGTGCCGAGCTTCTGTTAATTACTCCTTTACCCGAGGCCAGAAAACAGCACTCACGTAATGCACTGACTTAATATTAGCATAAGCATAACTAATGCTGAATAACTCATGGTTTGGGGGGAAAGTTTAGAAAGTACCACTGGGTACTCATGGAGGTCTCCTCTAAAATTATGCTGAGGTGCAAAAATAACATGTGATGGAAAAGATGGGGAACCATGGCTTAAGCACCTACTGCATCCCCTCACCCCAGGTGCGAGCAACCTCCAAACCATTCACAACACAGTAAAATATGAATCATGCTAATACATGATACCTGTGATAGACAAGGTAAAACATGAGTCACAGTGCTGTTGACTCCCAAGCAGTAATTTCCTATGAGATAAAAATTCAAAGCAAAGAAAATCTGTGAGAAATATTTCATGAAAATGACACCATTTCAGATGAAGATTTTATTTACCACAATTTTTAAAAATGTTGTTCTTATAACCTCAAGAAATATTTTTTTAATCTTAAATACTCAAGCTCTTCACCATTTCTAGACCCACAACACAGGCATCAAAGACATATCAAATCAAGAATAAGAATTCAAGTAGTAATTTAGGGTTGCACCCATATGAGAAATGGATGTTGGGCCGACCCGGTGGCGCACTGCTATAGTGCGCCGCCTGGGAAGCGTGGCGGCGCTCCCGCCGAGGGTTCGGATCCCACATACAGACCGGTTCCCGCTCACTGGTTGAGCGAGGCGCGGGAGCAATGCCGAGGGCTGCTATCCCGTTGCTGGTCCTGGTCCGGTACGGGGGCGACACTGAGGGTTGCGATCTGTTGCCGG